CTGTGAATGCTGACGTGGTAGTCAAAAGGGGATTGTCTGTCATCATCAATAGGAGATATTTCGTCTTGTCCACCACCAGACCCTTGCTTATCCAGTATGAAGAAAGCAGAACTAACCATACGATTGAAGAGGCTGATGATGTCGCTATTTATCCTTCCGGTTCGGAGAGACCATTTCCGAACTCTTAATGTTATACAGCCGTATAAGTTTTCAGAGGATACCAAATTCAGGTATAGCGGCATAGAATCAGCTCCTTTCCTCGATTGAAGGTCGCTTTAAATCGACTTGGAGCTGGTTTGTGTCGATTCTTCTGCAACAGGTCTTTGTAGATTTGCAGATCTGAGGTCATACAAATAAGGTCGACTCTATACGTTGAAGATGAGCTTTAGTATTTCACATGGTGCGCACACATAACTAGCACTACGGTCACACAGCTCCTATATACTGCTCTCAAAGAGCAGATGAGCAAGTCGAGTAGAAAATCGTTCCGTTGGCTGTTGTGATTGATCGCAGCTTTTCGTTGTGCTTCTTGACGGATTTGTTTAAGATAACCTCGATTGGCTGGGTTGCAAGTTTTCGATCTGCGGACAGTCATTTTTCTTGTGCAAGATTTTAGTACAGTAGAATAGACAACCATATTTCGAAAGTATCTTCTTTTTCAGCCCTAAGTACGCTCCAAGACATCTTTAGTAAAATCGTTATTCTTTTCTATCGGAGTGTGGCCGAACATCAGTGATAGCTTAAAGAACTTCCCTTGTAGTGAGACGCTCGTGCACCGGGTTGAACGCCAAGGTCTGCCGACTGAGTCTCTCGCACACTAGTTGGTTTCTACGCGATGGATTTCAAACCCAGCGCATAACCGCATAAAATATTCGGCTTCAATTGAACTTAGTAACTCCTTTATATTTATATATATATGTATGAGTAAGTACTATTGATCTCAGTAGCTTCCCAGAATGATTAATTACTTTTTGAGCTATGCTTTTTTAGTAAGTTCTTAAATTGTTTAGATTTTTAGCGCTAATTTGTATACCATATACATATACTCGTACATATATACATAAGCGCTGTTGTGTGTATGTAAATATATATATACTGATTACTTTTTGATTTTATTTTTTTTTTAAATTTTTTTTTAATTTTTTTTTATTTTCTAATTTTTCTTTTTACTTTTCGATATATTTTAAATATATATATATATATATATTTATTTACTGATTATTTTTTACTTATATATATATTTATTTAATTTTTTTTTATGCTTATTAAAAATAGAATAGCACAAAAAGCTATTGTTGATATCTCAGCTTTAAAGAAGATGTGGCTAAAATAAATAGAACATGAAGAACTATGTAGTATGTATGTACATGTATGTATGTATTGTACAATAATAGCAGCTTCGGCGTTGAAGCGTTGGGGGTGTGCGTACATACGTTTATTGATTATACAAAAATTCTTAGTAATTATGCGAAATGAATGAATGAAAGAAGCGCAATTTGGTAGCAGCATAACACCTTCTACTGTTTGTATGTATGTATATATGTATATCTGTGAATTCTGCTATATAAGAAAACACAACAGAATTATTGGCAATAGTAGTTCCAAAGCATTTGTTGCAAGTAAATCGGAGATTGCGAAGAATTTCAGTGAGAAGAAAAAAATAATAGTTTTAAATTGAAATTTACAATGAAAAAAGTGAGTGAAAAAATTATAACTTTCATTTGTAACCATCAAATTTATATAAATATATATATATTTTTTAATAGTATTAGTATAATTTTAAATACTTTTATTTATTTATTTTAAGTACATATTGACTTTATTTCGTATATTTTTGCTCAATATTTAATATTTTATTACTCTTCATTTTTATTATTTTTTTACTTTTTTTGAATAAATGTTGCTTTTTAATTTTAAATTACTTAATTTTTACATATTTTTTGCGCGTAATACTTTTCTTTAATTCTTTTGATTAAGTTAAACTATTTTTGAATTTAATTAAATATTTTTTTTTCCATATTAAATGTTTTTTTAATGATTTTTATTCGTATTTAAAAAATATTTTTTTAATATTTTTTAGAATTTTTTTATTCTTTTTATATATTTTTTTATTATTTTATTTTAAATATTTTTTTACTTATTTCATTTAAAAAAAATTTTGTTGAAATCTTTTTTTAATCTATTTTATTACATGTTTAATCATGTTTATCTTAGTTTAAATATTTTTAAACTTTGCTAGGTATTTGTTGTTATATATTAGATTATTTTTTAAATCCATTTTATATATGTTTTTTTTTAAATTTATTTTATATATATTTATTTTTTTGTTTATTTCAAATATTTTTTCTTCGCTTTCAAATATATTTGAACTTATTTATTTAAAAAATTTTTATTTTGTTGAAATCCTTTTTTATTTTTATTTTTACCTTTTAAAATCAAGTTTACTTTATTTTAAATATTTGTTAATCTTTGCTAGATATTATTAATTATATATTAAATATTTTTTATTTTAATTTATTATTTTTTACTCTTTCTGCTATATTTTTTATTTTTTTAAATATTCTTTTACTTTTTTAATTGCCTTTTATAATATTTTTTATTTTATCTTAAAAATATTTTAATATTTGTTTGTGTAAATATATGTGTGTTTCATTTTAAATAACTCTTTGTTTTTTTTTTTGTTTTTTTTAAATATTTTTATTTCTTATTTTAAATATTTTTTTACTATGTTTCAAATGATTTCTACTTTTTTTTAAGTATTTTTTATTTTATGTTATATGTTATTTTTATTTTTAATATTTTTTTTTGATATTTTTGTGTATGTATTAAGTATTTTTTTACATTTTTTAGTTTATTTTTTTCATATTTTTCTTTAATTTTTTCGAGTATTTTAAAAAATTTTTTACTGCTGCTCTTATATTAAAATATTTTTTACTTTATTTTCAATATTTGTTTACTTTATTTCACTAACTTTTTATTTTGTTTAAAATTTAAATGTTTTTTTTTAAAACATTTTAAATAAATTTTCACCTCCTTTTTTAAAATAACTTTTCTTTTATTCTAATTATTTTGATATATTTAAATAAATACTTTTTGTTTACTTTAAATTAAATTTTTTATCTTTAAAAATAAGTTTTTCTATTTTATTCTAATAATTGATTTTATTGCAAACAGTTTTTTGTTTTAAATTTTTAGGTCTTTTTCATTTTATTTTAATTTTTTTTTTTAAATTTTTTTATTTTGTTTTATATATTTTTTATTTCAAATATATCTTTTTATACTTTTTTATTTTATTTTAAATAATTTTTGTTTCATTTCAATTATTTTTTATTAAGTTTAAATATTTTAAACTCCTCTTTTTTAAATATTAAATATTTTTTTATTTTCTTTTAATATTGTTTTACTATAAGTTGAAAACATTTTTTTAAATTTATTTTAAATAAATTTAAAGTTATTTTAAACATATCTTTATTCTTTATTTTTGTTTTAATATTAACATTTATTTCAAATTTTATTGTATATTAAATGTGTTTTATTTTTTTTAAATGTTTTTTTTTTTTTTAATATCATTTCAGTTAATTGTAGCGACTATTTTGTACGTGCTCATCGTCAGCGTGAAGAGCTTCGGTCAGCCTTCCTTAAAATATTTGCCACCCGGCAACGCTGCTGGTGTGCCCTCGCGTCAGTACTTGTCACCGCACAGCGGTCGAAATTTGCATTACACAGCAGCAACGACCGCCGGCGGAAGCGGCCCGACAAGCCTAACGGGCTATAACAATCGTCACAGTAATGGTGCTAAACAAAATTACGTCACAGCAGCGACAATACCAATTGTCAGACAGGATTATACTAGTGATGCGAGTGGAAATTATAATTTTGGGTAACAAAAAAAAAAAATTTTATTTAATTATTATATTTAAAAAAAAAATAACATTTTTGCACTATGTATATAACAGTTTCGAAACCGCGAATGGCATTCAACGCGATGAAACGGGTGATATACATCACCGACCGGAGAGTTCTCTAAACGTACAAGGTTCTTACTCCTACACAGGTGATGATGGTCGTACGTATACGGTTAATTATAAAGCCGACGAAAACGGTTTTCATGCTGAGGGTGATCATTTGCCCACAACACCAGCGCCGGTACACGATCCAAATGTTGGTGGTGGTTATGGCTTACATGGCGCAGCTGGTGGTGGTAGTCGAGGCTTTCGAGGTCACGCTCAAGCATATGGAACGCCAACCAATCGTTATCTGCCGCCTCAACAACAATTTAAGAAACGCTTTTAATGGTGTTAATTGTGTTTAATATTTTTTCTTGATTACTCACTGTTCTGTGTTTTTTTTTTAATAAACGAAAATGTTCATTCTGTCTATATTTTATATATAATATATATATGTGTCTTTTGCACCCAACTAGAAAAAAACATTAGGTTGCTTATTTAATAACATGGCAAGCAGCAATAGAAGTACGTTAGTTGTCTTAATTTAAGCGGTTTGAGTCGAATATGGTTTTGAGTTGGGCGAAATATGAAATTTGCTCTAAAAATGTATATGAGAGTGTACTTAAAAATATTCAAAAAAAAAAAAATTAATAAATATTTATAAAATCTTAAAAACCTCTGAGTGTTGATTATTTCGAAAAATTATTTAAAATTTACATACTTTTTTCTTAATAAAAAAGTATTTTCTGTTAGCTGAGTCACCCTGTGCATAAACGAAAAACTGTAAATGTGATTTAAGCGGGTTAAATTGTTCTTTTTTGCGTCGCATACAAAAGAATACGGTTTATAGATATATATATATATGTATGTATATAGCAATGTGAGTGTGTGCATATTTTTTTAGTATTAAGTTCATTTCAAAATAAATATTTAAAATTTTTGAATTTAATTGTAGTTATTTTTCTACTATGTAAATATGTACATATTCAATATATTACAATAAAAAAAAATATATATATATATATATGTAATATATATATGTAGTAGCCATACCTGTTTCTTCATGGTATCAGTTAGCTCATCAATGCATTCCTTACGTTCGAACCTTTCGAATTTGAAGCTATTGGAACGATACAATTCGTTATCTTCGTGACGTCTATTGCGGCACAAGCGTCTCATTATAATATTACCACTGCCGCCACCGCTGAGTCGTGGTCTAAAGTATAAAATAAAATTTATACATATAAATTATAAAAAAATTTAAAAGCCAATGTATACATACATATTTATATATATAATATATATATACATAATAAAAAAATTTAAAAGCCAATATATACATACATATTTATTTTATATTGTTTTAAAAATAAGAAGAAAAAAAAGCAAAAATTTTGTAAAATCCTCCACGCACGGGGTTGCCCTTTCATAGGCGAGATAAGCATAAATAGAATTTAGAGTGACCAGAAACCATTATTTTGCACATGAGAAGGCGTACACGCGTAGGGTTGCACGTAAAAAAATCAGCTTCAATGATAAATGCAAATGAGATAAACCTCAAATGCGATACCCTCCCTCTTTTTTGATATTTTTCCAACAAGTGGAGTTGGCATTACCCCTGTCGGCCGCAATAGCCGAGTGGTTAGCAGTTTGTTTGCCATTCGGTTGGTCAGAATTTGAGTTTTAGTCCGACCAACACTAAAAAGTATAGAAAAATAATCTAGTAAAAAGCGACTTCTGAAGGGACCCACACTGACATATGCCCTCACATATAGGTATTTAACCATTTTTCGATTTTTTTACATTTTTTTTTTTTTTTTTTGAAAGAACTCACAGAGAATATGCAAACTTGTGGAAGTTATGGAAAATTTTCAAACAATTTTTGAATTTTTTTTGCGCTTTTTTATTATTGCATTCATGTACGTTCAACAAATATAACTGAACAACTGTAAGGATGTCTTTGATTGTTTGATTGTAGGGTGTTAGAAATCTTCATTTCAAGGTTTCCTTAAACTCTACACAATAGACTCGAACAAAGACAACAATTGAGGTTATTTTAAGTGGATTGGAATTGTAGGTGAATTCCTTGCTTTATCTCTATGCTTGATAATATCCACAAGCTATAGACAAAAAAAAAAACCTTTCATACACATACATACATATATACACTCAAATACTATGCATATATGTATGTAGTTGGCGCTTAAATGAGTTTTGGCCGAGCTTCTCCATTGGTAAAGGGCGTGATATTGTTCATGCATTGCGCATGATACCGTCTTGAAGCTATTGGCATATCCTGAGCAGCATACCAACCAACATTTATTGTAACTTTTCTCTGGTAAAACTGTGGTCAGCATTCGAGCTCATGGTAATTTGACGCGTTCGACACGAACAGTGGGCTGTCAAATTACAGCCCACATACATAGAAAATGGAATCAAGTATTCTTCTGCACATTTATTATTTATTGCCTAGATGAAAGGGACAACGAAAATTTGAAACAAAGCATATTTAGCGAAGGCTCTAAAAGAGGATGACAAAAATTTCGTATTTTTCTACGATTTTTAGAGGAAAGTGAAGAAGAACATTTGTGCGCAAAACATATTTTATAGAACATGTTGAATACATACTCATAAAGCAAAAAAAAAAATGAAACTGGTCCAAAAAATACTAGTATACGACTAGAATTTCCTGACTTCAAAAGCACTGGCCCGCAAAATACCACTCTGGTCGCAATAAGAAAACTATCAGCTAATGTCTAATTTAAATGTATTTGATAATTTTTATGTACTCAGAGTATATGAAGTTTGTTTAGCTAACGGTTTTATGTAGCTATATAAAATAATCGAGATTGGTATGGATATATAAATATCAAACTTCATGGAATGCCGAGATGAATCTATATGGCCATGTCCGGATTGCGCATCTTTTTGATCGGACCTCTGGATACACACTCTCCTATATAATGAGGCTTTCTATATTACAACATTTTTTCTTTATGTGGACTTAGCCTTACTTTTTTTATTTTCAATATGATTCATTAAAAAATAGCATTAGAAAAGACAGGCTGAACCTGAAATTCATTACTCTTCAAAAAATTCGGAGAATGTTTTCATTATATTTATAATATTCAACCAAGTTCGAGATATATTAGGCGTCAAAAGGGACGTCGTGCTCTTTTGAAACTTAACAAGCACACTCATAACTACCCTGGAGTCACCTACTAACCACAACGCCATAGTTGACTGCGTAGAAGCAGAAAGATGCTATAACATCTCACTCCCGCATGTGCCTCCACCTACCACGTATTCAGCACTAACCAGTGATTTCAGTAGTCGAGTAGTTTATAATGCGTGCTATCATGCCGAGTGACATGCGTTCGAATATTGGTCAGATAAACAAGTATAGATAGTAATGTCAATCTCTTTGGGCATATTTGTGATATGAAACAAAAAGCTCCTTGCAAAAATCCATCAGCAAAAAACCTGTAGCTTCCGCCATTTGTTGGAGAAAACAATAAAGACGCACACCAAGAATACAACACAAAAACTCCCTTCTTTCTCTGCCTCCACATATGCTTACCCGCAGGGCTTACAATGAGTCATATGCAAATCCCAGTTGAGATGAAAATTGAACATGCGCAGCTTGGCCACAGCACGTTGACGCAACGAAATATCCGGCGTCGCTGCCGTTGCTGGGCCTGCCGCTGTAGTAGTACCGGTTGTGGCTATCATAGCAGCTGTTGCTGCCTCAGTTTGTAGAGAATCTAAAGTGCGACTCGGATTGGGATACATCATTACAGTGCCGCTGGGTGCTGAGGTAGCCATTAGACGGCTCGATGAATGTCTTGCCTGACGATGATGGCGATGGCTGCCATCGGTAGAGTCCTTCATTGTATAAAAACCGCCAGAGGAACTATAATAAAATTAAATTAGAACTAGTAAAAATAAATAAATGACTTTGCTTGGCTTACGACATATTATCACCACCACCGCCGCCCACACAACTAACGCCACTACGACGCGGTCGACTCTTACGTCGACGTCGCCTACGCCGATCGGCAGATGCGTGTGCATGCAACACATGCTGGCTCAGTGATTTCGGATATTGAGCTCTGGAGTTTTTGTCATCCTTGGCAGTGTTTGTAACGGCAGGCAGTAAGCCGCTGGCAGCCAAGCGTCGCCCCGTGGCGGTGCTGGAAGGCATATTGACCGTGTTGCTGCCACCAGCGACCGTTATTGTAGTGGTGGGCGCAACAATGTTGCCATCACAAAATCCCCCAGCCAAACTCGTGTTGTCTGCTGCATTGGGTTGTATACCGGTTGTTGTTGTTGATGCGGCTGTTGCTGCTGCTGCTGCCGCCGTTGTTTTCGACGATCGTCCGCCGAAACTGTTATTGACCTTTCGCCACATACGTTCCATTACGCTGTGCACGTGCTAAGTGGATTTGTGCGTTGGTTCAGTGATAGCGTTGCATGCATGAGCGTTTGTATGTGTGCCAGTTTGTGCGTATGTGCATGTGTACGAAATTAATGTTGATAAGATGTTGAGCTCGGTTGTGGCATTTTTACATTTCTTCGTGAGACAAGCGGCAGGAACTATTTACATAATATTTTATGTATGTATGTATGTATGTAATAATATTTGAACTAACGAGATGCAAGGAACCACACGGAATTTTGAATTTTTATATATCGTTTTATGTTTTGCTTTATTTTTTTTAATTTGTAGGTTTCTTATTAAACAAAAGATTTAGCTGTTCATACACGTGTGTATGTGTGTAATTATATTATTTGTATTTTGTGCAAAATATTCCATTAACCGTGTTAACCGCACAGGATTCACGTATTTTGTATTTTTAGTATTTAATTTTTAATTGTTTTTTAATATTTATTTTTGCTATTTCAGATTTTTTTATTTTTTAATATATTATTTTCTTTTTTTAATTTTTTTTTATTTAACTTTATTTTGTTATTTTCAACCTTTTAATTTTTAACCTTTATTCTGTAATTTTTTTGGTATTTTAATTTTTTTTATTAATTTATGATTTTATTAATTATTGATTTTGGCATTTTAAACTTTTTATATTTTTAATATTTCACTTTATTTTTTTAACTTTATAAAAGTTCATTAATATTAACTTTTAAGTTTTATTTTGTAAATTTGAACGGTTTTTATTTTTGTAAATTTTAACGGTATTTATTTTTTGGTATTTTTTTTTTAATCTAAATTTTTCATTTTTATTATTTTAATTTGTTATTTTCAGCATTTTTTATTTTTAATGATTTACTTTGTTCTTTTTAATGGTTTTTTCAATTTCTTCTTTTAATTTAATTTTATTATTTTTTCTTATTTTGTTATTTTTAACTATTTTACTTATGATATTTCATTTTGTTATTTATAAATTTTTTGATTTTTCCTTCAATTTTATTTATTAATTCATTTATATGATTATTTCTTGCATTTTTCATAGTTAATACGGTTTTTATTTTTTACTTTTAATGTTTCCTTTTTTTATTTATAATTTTTTTTTTTAATTTTGCTTTAATTTTATTTATTCATTTTTGTATTTCAATATTTTTGGCTTCTTTCATAGTTAATATGGTTTTTTTACTTTTATTGTTTTATTTTGTTGCATTTAATTTTTATAATTCTTTTTTTTTTAATTTTTTTTTCCTTTTATTTTGTCATTTTTAGTCTTACTTTATATTTTACTTTGTTATTTTGAACTACTTTTAGTTGTAATATTTTTTATATTTTTTTAAATTTCTTCTTTATTTAATTTTTTTATTATTTTTTTTTATTTTGTTATTGGTATCTACTTTTAGTGTAAATATTTTTTGTTTTTAGCGTTTTATTTTGCTAATTTTTAGCCTATTTTTTATATTTCATTTGTAAGCTTCGTGTTAAACAAAGATTCAGCTGTTCATATATGTTTGTATGTATTTATTTATTTTTTTCTTTTAATTTTATGTTTCTCTTTTTTTTTGTTGCTTTTAGCCTTTCTTGTATTTTTTTTATTACTTTTAACTACTTTTAGTTTTATTATTCTTTTATTTAAATTTTTCTTTACATCAAATATTATATTTCGTTTTTTTGTATATTTTTTAAATTCTTCTTTTAATTGTTTTTATTTTTGTTTTCATTTTCTTTCTTTCTTTTTATTTTTTAATTTTTATATATATATTATTTATATATATTTTTTGCTTTTTTTTACTTTTGACTTCTTTTATTGCCAATATTTTATTTCGTATTTTTAAAATATTCTTTTTTTTTATTTTTTTAGATTTTTTTTTGTATTCATTCTTTATTTATTTTTTTTAATTTTTTTTAAATTTTTTTTTTTTTTTGGTAGCACACTTAAGCAGAAAACATAAATTTATTGACACGACTAAAGGCTGTATGTAGTAGGATTTCGTATCTCAAAGGAATCCATTGTCTTTGCAGGAACTCAACTTCATAGTAGAAGACATTTCTAATCAGGTATAGAATGAATTGATAATAATAATAATAATAACGATGTTGTGCTGTTGGTTTAGCTAATACATATTTGCGAAAATTGTCAAACATTTACAGGAGCATCGGAGTCCAGTCATCCTCATATGTATGCTGAGGTTCCTCCAAAACGTGTACGTACACCAAAGTTAGACCGACGGAATTTTCACTGTGGTGAACACCAACAACATGACTCTTGCTTGCTAACTCACACACATTCATTCACTATTTCTCGTACACAGTTATTATATCAATGTATATTTTTAATTTAATTTTTACAACTTCTTCAGCTTCTTCTTCTTCTTTCTTACTTCATTCTCCAATTCAAATATATGCCTAAATTATATTTTACACAAATTGTTTATTTAAGGAGAGTTACACGTTTTCTGGAAAATTTTTTCATGCACGGCTGTGTACGCACCACAAAGCACGGTCTCCACACGGCAAAACCTTTCTGCACATATCCACACAGTTTCCACCACACCAAAAAGGGTTTGTGGTGAGTGCTCAATTGCCTCGCCAGCTTATGAGCTTTTGCTCTTGTACGCTCCGCAACTAAGAACATCTGGCAAACATCAACAAATTCCTCATGTCCTGCGCAAAGCTCACAGGACTGCTTTAGACATTTGTATATATATTCGAAATCAACCCTTATCAGCGGCGGCTATTGTGAATTGGCGGTGTACTTTCCATGCAAGGAGTTTTTTTTTATTGTGAACTGTTGATTGGGTTTGTGTATGAAATGCTTTTTTTATATTTTTTTTCTTTTATTTCATTTCTGTAATTAAAATATATATTTAAAATTTATTTTATATATAAAATTCGTTTATAGTTAAATTCAATAAGGTGACGCATTTGCTGGGCAGGGTTCGAGTACTGACGCGGCCAACATGCAAAATTATAGAACAGTAATTTTCTGAATGCAGGCAATGTTAAGCACTCCGAGTGTGTTTCTGAACTGAAAATCAAAACTTCTCATAAAAATCCAACGGCAGCACTCGGGAGCGGTTCGGAATAAACCGTAGTTCCCACCTTTTGCTGTAGCGGTTATATATATGTATGTCAGCTTTATTTTATTTTATTTATTTATATATTTATATATATATATATATATTATTTATTTATATGTTTATATAAGATGACATACATATATATAACCGCTCTCCGCTCCGTTTAATAAAATAAAATAAAATAAAATAAATATGTAAATAAATGAAATAAAATAAGGATGACATACTTATATATGTATGTATAAGCGCTTAATTATTTCAGTATAAGGAAAATAGTTTATTTTTACGTGTCATGAATATGCAAATATAATATATATATTTTTTTTTAATAATTTTATAATATTTTATTTTTTGTAATAATTTCAATTATAATATCCTCTCAAATTGGATTCTTCGACTATCGTTAAAATAGCAGCGAACGCCTCCTCTGCTGTTGGCTCAATTTCCTCAGCCGGCAGTATAAATAACTCCTTGCTATCCGGTGGTCCACGTAGCTCGAATGAGTACGTGATTGGTATACTCAGCACACCATGTGCCCAATCCTTTGAACCGCCACTTGAAGGATATATGGTCTCATAAATGCTGCCACTCTTGTAAATGCGTCCCGTTAATTGTTTAATTTTCTCACTCGCCTTTCTACCGATCTCCGTGAGATCATTGTAATTATCCACGCGTACTGCTGTATGTCCATAGGGAAACATAATCATTTGTGAGTAGGAATGTAGTGAAATGAATGTTTTTATTGTATTATTAATAGCGACGTTATCGCGTAGAAATTGTATCAGACGTTTAGTTTCCACTTCACTACCAGCTGCTGGACCGGCATAATCATAACGACAGGGATCACCGCTCGTGCCGGTGGTGTTCCAATGAAATGGATAATTTCTATTCAAATCCACACCGCGGCAAATGCCAAAGAGTTCACGATTCTTACGCCACATACGATCGCCGTTGAATGTGTACGTATAACCATCCGGATTCATCACGGGGAACACGATCCAATTATACTCATTGGCGTATTTCACTATTTCCGGTTCATTTGTTGTTAGCAACATATTTATTATGTAATTCGCTGTGGCCGGCGCTATCCACTCGCGTGCATGTATGCCACTCTCTATGAATATGGTTGTGGCTGTTTCATTTTTATTCCTTCTCAACTGCACTCCCTTAATCGGTAAACCCTGCGCACTTTCGCCCATATTTAGAAGCGTAATATCTTGTGGATTTTGCTGCGCTAATAATTCCATCCAAGCGTAGATGGTATCGAGTTGAAAATAATGCTTCCAGTCCATCGCTTTGGGTTCGATATCCTTCGGGCGCACCTCTTGAAGATTACGGTCGATGATTTCTTGAAAGTTGTAGCTCTGTTTGTAGTACAGTAAAAAAAAACTCTTATGTACAAATGTGTTGTAATCAGAGATGGATACAAAAACCAAAAATAATAATAATAATAAAATTATTTACTTGAAGAAGTCTAAATCTGTACTATCAAAATGCCAGCAGAGCTACTTCAGGAAGCAGATTTGCGCCAAAAGCGAATACAGATCCAAGAAGGTGCTACTCTCGGGCACTACGAAGTCAGCGGTGGTAACACGATAAAAAAGCAAAAAAAAAAAGAAAGCCGTTGAAAAAACGAAAGCCAAATCGGCATAGAAGCTACTGAGGTAGCCGCTAAACTTGTTAAAAAAAAAAGTGATCTTACTGCAACGGGCGTAACTATGAATTTCCTAGTTCTGAGGAAGGGAAGGAGGGAGTTCTGAGGAAGGGAAGGAGGTCGCTTTTGCATCTACGAATGATTTTGCTCGAACATCAATTGAGAGAAATGTTAAAATCTCAATATATATCACGCTTGGAGAGCAATACTTCAACATTCTGACTCCGTTCGGAGTTCGAAGCAGCAAATAAGCGTTGAGAAAAAAAAGATTGTTGGAGTATTGAGTAGGAAATATTATGATTTTCTATGTCTTGTAATGAAATGTTGTAATTTTTCTACAAAATATTGTAATTTTCAAAACTAATAATTCTACGTGAACCTGTTGAACCTAATACCTTTCTGTGGCCCATTCACTATACTAAATCGTTCTATGGACATTGTGTAAAATTTGTTTGAATTTTCGGTGTCAAAATATAAACATTTATCAGTAAATTTATATATTAATTCTTGAGTGACTCTCTTTGTTATTTTGGAATTAAAAAAAAAAAAAAAAAAAAAAAATTTCAAACAAATATTTTCACACTCTCCTTATGGCTCTGCATGAAATTCCCTTAAACAAAAAAAACTCTTACCAGCACTTCGTGCGTAACATTGTAGGTTCGTAGTAAATCGGCGAAATCCGCCACCTTATGCGCTGCCACCATAATGGTCAATTTCTGTTGGGGATGCCTCGCGTGTCCGTAGAATGTGCAGCTGTCACTTTTCTCCTCGAGCTCCTGAAAGAGGTCAACATGTTGTGCCGTGCCTAATTCCACATGATAAACACGGTAATTATCATAACGGGCAATATCTGGTGGAGTGTTGATCGAATTTTTAGATTCTTCAGAGCTTGCCACCGAGTGAATTGCATTTATCGCTAGCAAGACGAGTAAAAATATGTCAACAGAGCACAAAGTGGCTTTCGGTGACATTGTTTTTTTTTTTTTGTAATTTATATAAACTTATGTATATGTAAATAAGTATGTAGCTACAGGTCTGAGCATTTGAAAACCTATTTTAAGACTAATCTTCACTTTAAGATTATGAAAATTCTAAGCTCTTAGCTACGCTCATCTTGCTATTTCTAAATAGATCGGTGAACCGTCGCTATCTCCCATGTATTTTTATCTCTGTGGTGTATATGTATACATATATGTGCATATATACATTTGTCAACAAACGTAAAGTATTCCCGTATATTCACATATGTATATATATATATGCATTTATAATAGTTTGTGCTGTGCGTTTTGGTGTTTTTCCTGCAAATAGATGAACCTAAAGTTTATTCTAAGCCCGACTCTGAACGTCTGATGGTTTTTCATAAGGAGCCTTTATTTCATGTCAAAAATACACTCGGAAGTTCTGACATTCATTGCCGAGGAATGCCCGTAATTGGAAATATAATTTAAATTTTTTTTATTTCTGCATATTGGTCGGACTGGGATTCGGACCCTGACCTTCAGAACAATAGTCAGACATGACAATTAATTTTGTTTTTGCTCATTTTATAATAATTTGAGTTGAGAGTTGAGCGGATGCGTCTGCTGGTCAAACCCCAGCACACTTAGGCCAATAGGCCCATTGCGATACCGCTGAGACTCCTGCCTTCACCTTATCAATTGATCGAACCGTTGCGTATGCCTTATAATGGCAACGAGATTTCCAATGTTCACTGATGTCAACTCAGCAAGACAGTCGAAGAAATGTTTCCCAAGAAACTTATGTCGCGCGAATGTCCAGGCTGGACAGTGGCAAAGGTAGTGCTCGATGGTCTCCTCCTCTTCTTCGTGCCTACAGCCGTGGCGGAAATCGTTAGAGTAAAAGCCCATCCTAATCCCGTGAAGCCCCATGTTAATGGAGAACCGGTCCAGAAGGATAAGATGCTTCGATTTTTTCGTTACACGTGATCTCGTTCAACCATAGTGAGTTAGCTTCCCTGGTGAAGGCCGGTTTAAGCATGTACTTAGTCGTGAACAGAGGTAAACCAACATTGTGCGTGTTTTATCGTAGATAGAAGGGTTCTTTCTCTTGCGAGTTCGTCTGCAATGAAATTGCCTGGGATGTTCCTGTATCCAGGCACCGAGGCAACGGCAGTACTGTACTTCCTTGAGAGTTTATTGAGAGTGTTTCTACAGTTTATGGCCACTTTTGACATTGAAGAGATATGATTGCAGTCTGACTATCGGAGTAGATTGTTACTTATTGTCCTTCGCCGTAGATTTGTGCAACCTTTCCGCGGCCTCCATGATTGCGAAGAGTTCCGCCTGGAAAACGCTACAAAGTTCCGGTATTCTTATGCTCATGCTTACTGCAAGCACGGGAGAATAAATTCCTCAACCCACCATTCCATCGAGCTTCGAGCCATCTGTGAAGATGGCCATTGTTCCCTGGTCGGGGGCGTTGGTGTTTTCCCACTCGCATCTGTTTGGGATTCTTGTGGAGAAAAGATTAGTTCCTTGGGAGATAATTTTTTTGTATGTCCTATACTGCAATTCTTCCAAGGTTTAGTTGCATTCAATCTTATTCCTTTGCAAGCCGCTTGTAGTTTTCCGTATAGGTCCAGAGGAAGGAGTTTGAGAAGAGTTAGCAGTGCTTCCGAGGGGGTTGATTGTTGAACTCTCTCTAATTTGCTCCTGAATACGATTTTCTCGAGTGCTGGCCATCAGACGGTGACCCCGTAGAATAGAATTGGTCTAACTTAACTACCGATGTGTATATCCAATGCACGATACTCGGTCTTAAACCACATCTCTTTCCTATCCCCGTTTTGCAGGCGTAGAGTGCAATAATAGCTTTTCTTCATCTTTATTATATTATTTTACAATAATTTAATTTCATTTCCTTTTATTTCAATTTAATTTTAATTTGTTTCAATTAAATTTTTTTTTATATTTACGTTTGTTTCGTTTTATATTATTTTTTTTTAATATTATATTATTTTATTTTGCTTAATTTTAAATTAATTTACGTTATTTTTATTTCATTTTATTTTATTTTATTTTATTTTATTTTATTTTATTTTATTTTATTTTATTTTATTTTATTTTATTTTATTTTATTTTATTTTATTTTATTTTATTTTATTTTATTTTATTTTATTTTATTTTATTTTATTTTATTTTATTTTATTTTATTTTATTTTATTTTATTTTATTTTATTTTATTTTATTTTATTTTATTTTATTTTATTTTATTTTATTTTATTTTATTTTATTTTATTTTATTTTATTTTATTTTATTTTATTTTATTTTATTTTATTTTATTTTATTTTATTTTATTTTATTTTATTTTATTTTATTTTATTTTATTTTATTTTATTTTATTTTATTTTATTTTATTTTATTTTATTTTATTTTATTTTATTTTATTTTATTTTATTTTATTTTATTTTATTTTATTTTATTTTATTTTATTTTATTTTATTTTATTTTATTTTATTTTATTTTATTTTATTTTATTTTATTTTATTTTATTTTATTTTATTTTATTTTATTTTATTTTATTTTATTTTATTTTATTTTATTTTATTTTATTTTATTTTATTTTATTTTATTTTATTTTATTTTATTTTATTTTATTTTATTTTATTTTATTTTATTTTATTTTATTTTATTTTATTTTATTTTATTTTATTTTATTTTATTTTATTTTATTTTATTTTATTTTATTTTATTTTATTTTATTTTATTTTATTTTATTTTATTTTATTTTATTTTATTTTATTTTATTTTATTTTATTTTATTTTATTTTATTTTATTTTATTTTATTTTATTTTATTTTATTTTATTTTATTTTATTTTATTTTATTTTATTTTATTTTATTTTATTTTATTTTATTTTATTTTATTTTATTTTATTTTATTTTATTTTATTTTATTTTATTTTATTTTATTTTATTTTATTTTATTTTATTTTATTATCTCGAAGCATCTAACTTGACGGTATTTAAAAAAATTATTAAAATAAATTTCTTTATATTTGTATATTCATTACTTTATTTAATAAAATATTTATTTTTTTTATATAATCACTCAAATAAGGTTTTAATATTTACAACTCAGCGTGTTTATAATTTAAATGCAATTAACATACATATATATGTATGTATGAAATTTTTTTTTGATTTTTCAACAAGTTCAACTTTTAATTTAATTTTAATACATTTAAGTACATTAATATATTCTAAATTTATTTTCTCTTACAATGTCATACCCATTATATATTTCGTATGTATATATGTATATCTCTGTTCAATCTCCATATTATAATGTGATGTGCTAATTTTTTTTAAAGATTAATAATAAAATACTCATTATTGAGAATACGTGCTTACACTTGCAAATACATACATATGTATATATATAGTATATAATCAAAAAATACTCTTTCGCAAAGATATTGCAACAAATTCCAGCTATGTTACTGCTTTTGGTACTTGTAAGTGTGTATGTATTATGCATAATTAAGACTACATAGTTCAAGATATGCATATTTTCGCTGACATATATATGTATATATAAATATATATATATGTATATAATTTTTTTTTTTGCATACAAATTTGGTGCAATAGCATTCGTTTCGTTTTCCGTTAATTTTTTTCCTTATTTTTTTCTAAATTTATTTTATTCTTCGTTCGCCACTGCCGCATTCCCATTGCGCGCCGCATTCATTTGGATACGATTTTCCCATTCAACTATGAGGCGATGCGATGATGGCGCCTCTTCAGGCGGCAAATCACAAAGTTGTGCCAAGGACATGGCAGGACGCATTGTGCCAAAACCATTCTTTCTAATCTCAAAATCTGGACTAGGTGTTGCTCTGGGAAAAAAGGAAAAAAAATAATTTATAATAATACATATATTGTATAATATTTTAATTAATAAATTATGTAAAATAAAATGTATAACGGATATAAATTGTTGCACGGGCGGGTTTAATGGAGAGAGAGAGAGATATTTGAAGATAAATTTAAGAAATTAGTGCTACATTTGTTCATAATTTTCTATTTCATGTTTTCAACTGTTTATTTATGAGGATTATGGCATGAAATCCCATTTCTGAACCATCATTTGTGTGACAGCCATATGTTATAAACATCCGATTTTAATAATTTTCAGCAATAATATTTTATATGTAAAAAGTGAGCAGTAAGCCAAATTTCAAGTTCTCAGTTGGTAAATTGTAAGAATTATGGCACGAAAACCCATTTTTGAACCATCATTTGTATGACAGCCACGTGTTATAAACATCCGATTTTAATAATTTTCGGCAATAATATTTTATATGTAAAAAGTGAGCTGTAAGCCAAATTTCAAGTTCTCAGTTGGTAAATTGTAAGAATTATGGCATGAAAACCCATTTTTGAACCATAATTAGTATGACAGCTATATGTTATAGACGCTCGATTTCGATGATTTTTAGTAACAATATTTAGTGCATAAAAAGGGAGCAGTAAGTCAAATTTCAAGTTCTCAGTTGGTAAATTGTAAGAATTATGGCACGAAACTCCATTTTTGAACCATCATTTGTATGACAGCTATATATTATGATGACGATGATCAGTCTATCTCTTATTCTTTACTTTTTATTTTTAAAAAATGTACTTTTTGTAGTGAATTCCAGCTGAAAAATACTAGTCTGCTGATTAATGTTACCTGGGTGAGCTGCTATTATTATTTAACTGCGCCGAGTAGGATATTTCACTAATGGATTTCGCCGAACGTAGTTGTCTGGGACCAAGGCAGTGCTCCACCTCAGAGTCCTCGTCATCTGTGTCTTCATTACTGCTGGAGTAAATAAGTTTCGAAAAGTAAATTTCATAATCTAACACATATACACCCCAACACCATCACACTTACCCATTTTCCATGGCCTCCAGTAGATCGGATGTAGATTGTCGGAATTTGTTACGCTTCTTCAGCTCATGTTCACGTGCCTGCAAATCCTTGATTTCCTTCTGAATCTTAACCTCCGCCGGTACATAACCACGTCGGATAACTCTACCTTCGGCATCGCGTTCGATGTGTGGTGGTGTCATTGTGACATTTTGTATGGCAATAGGAGGTGTGTGCATTTCAGGTGTCAACATTTTATGCAAAGGACTTGTTAAAGACACCGTAGGCGTAGGCGTGTTGCTTGTCATGGGACCTCTGGTTGCATCGGCGTTTAGTAAAGCAACAGCTGCTTTGGTATTCAAGAACATCTTGTTTGTTGTCCCATTGTTGTTGTTCAGTTGTATTTTACCCCGTGATGCTATAAAACGTTGCATAACACCTTTATTGGCGGGATTGAAGGCAAAAAGACGTTGTCTATTAATCACAGACGGTGTAATGGGTACCGTGCTCGCGATCATTGTCTGACGTGGTGGCTCGGGTGTATTTGTATAGCAATTGGGTCCGATATAACGTTGTTCCTTGTTTGGTTTGGTGGGTGCTATGTAAGTTGTCGCAGCTGAAACGCCATTTATTGGACTTGGTGAAGCTGATATGCCCGAGTCCTCGTCGATACTCTCTTTACTGTTAATACTGTTCTCGCTATGTGCCAAGGATTGCGCGTTCAAGGAAACATCGCAGTTTGTCAATAAAGTCTGTGGTATTGGACTGATTGAAAGACTATTAGAGCTGTCATTGTCATGAATTTGGGTTTTCGCTGCGTCATTATCATCGTCATTGTATTCCCCTGGTGACATTGGTGAGCTGCCCGTTATAAGTTGACGATGTTCCTCCTCTCGACGCACAACTTCTTTGATTTCTTCTTGAATGCGTAGCAAAGGATCGACCTTCTGAAATTGTAAAGTAAAATAATAACAAACTTTTCGAAATAATTAGTGTGCATCAGAGTCTGTCTCTAACAACCACATTGTTTTTGCTTCTCATTCGAAAATGGCGAGCATTTGCTGGAAGTTTTGATTTTCTATTTTCCATTGTGGAGATTTTAGCGTCGAAGGCAAAGAGCCGACTGACCTATTCGAAAAAATTTTATTTATGATTCGATTTACTTGAAATTCCGTACACAGGTGGCCCTTTGCTGGGATGAGTAGGAAAACTACTCTTCTCTCCGGGAAGTGGACCAATGTCTATGGTAAAACCAAAAATTTTGTATTCTCACAAGTATTGATTACATAAAAATATATCCCATGATTAATTTTTCAAACAGTCAATGAGTATAAGCGACAGCGAAGCATTGCAGAGTACAGATGGTTATATTTATATTTATATATATTATTTTATTTTAAATTAGTTTTAGTTTATTTTATTTTAATTAATTTTATATTATTTATTTTACTTTATTTTATTTTACCTTTATTTATTTTTTTTTTAATTTTATTTTCTTTTCATTTATCTCATTTAATTTGATTTTATTGGTTTTATTGTATTATATTTCATCTTTATTTTATTTTTTCTATTCTATTTTTTATTTAATTTAATTTAATTTAAATTAATTTAATTTAATATTACTTTATTTTATTTTATTTTATTTTATTTTATTTTATTTCATTAATTAACCTTTCAGTGAAGTTTTTGTATGAATATCTATAGGTATTAATGCTAGTAAAAGTATCATCTTTTCATATACTCGTATGTACATATGTATGTGCATACCTCACGAAACTCTTTACTACAACTTTTGAAGTTTTCAATTAGGTGGCTGATTTCGTTTATTATTTTTAAATTGGCTTTTTCTTTTGTTTTTGTTTTCTAACTAATTTTCGGTTCGCAAGTGTATGTATGTTTGTTCGTGAGCATATGGACATGAAAATCTTAAAGGAAATAAACGTTATCGTATTTTCCTTTTATGTGCTTAATTTACTTTTGCTGATAATTATTGGCTTAACTATTTGAGCTTAGGTAATGAATTGAAAATCAATGAGTAATTCCAAGTGCATCGATATACATATGTACATATACCTATAAATATATTTTTGCAAGAATTTAGAATGTCAGAAAATATAATAAAAGAATACGCTTCGGTCTCGGCTTGTGCGTCCTTTCATATTCCTTTCATATTCCTACCCTTCTTCAGAGAATTTTTTATTACTTCTTAATTTCCTATCCAGGTGTAAGTGCCACATATAGTTCTAAATTCATAAGCATGTGTACATACAAGTATACATTTCGTAATTTACTTTTCATTTTCATTTCGATTTGGATTTTCAACTGTCACTTTTGCTTGTTGGTTTTTTTCTTATCGCTGTTATGCTTTAAGTCACCGTTTACTCTCACGTAATATGTTTAAGTCGAAATCTAAGAGACGTGACTTGTATCTCAAGCAAAATGTAAATTTACGCTCGGTTGAACCATTTTAGATGCCAACATTATGTGAATACTGAAATTTTATATTCGAAACTTTTTGTTTTTTGTGTAAATTATCTAAACGCCGACAACTTACTAATTCTATTTATTACATAATCCTCAAGTGGTGAGGTTAATATAAATGTATGTATGTATATATTTTACCATTAGGGCAGCTAAAATTGGCTTTGTTGTAATAATAATCAGGTTATATATCTATATATATCTAATTGGACGTGTAAAAACATGCTTCCTCGTATATACTGATTTATTAGGTCTAGTAAAAATTAGTCCATTATTTATTATTATTCCTCTCTCACAAAATTCCCATTCACCATAGACAGTCACAAATGGTAATCACTTGATGTGTGGTTCGGGCTATAAGCTGAGAACCTTCCAACCAAGCTCTGTCGCATCACTATCGATGTGTGTCTGTGTGTGTGGTCTAGCGTTGTCCTGATGAAACACATTTTACCTCCAATTGACCGAAGCTGGACACTTATGGGCATTTACTACCTTCATACGCTCGAATTAGTAACATAACATGCCTGCACTGAGCGTTTGGTCGTAGGAGAGCAGCTCATGCACACAACCAAACCGCGCTGCCTGTCAAGCTTAGCTTGAAGACCCTTAATGCCGACTCACTACACGCCCTTCGAACACGATTGTTTCTGTTCGATGTTGCCGTCACCTGTCACCATGCACTTGAGAAGCAAACAAGAACAGTTGTAACGTAAAAAAAAAAACGAAAACCACAACAAAAAAGGTCTGACAAAATTCATTATTTTTGTCAAATTTTTTATTTTACTTTTTGAGATTTTTTTTTTTAATTTTTAATACCTTTTTTTATAAGTTTTTGTTTTTTAATTTTAATGAAAAATATTTCTTTAGCCTTGAGAAACAACTTCTTGAGCAGAATAAAGTCGATTGGCAGTTGTTCCTTTGAATGGTATGCTAAAAAAAAATCTGTACATTTTTTTAAGATTATTTTTTTATCCGAACTCACTGCTTTAATTGCACAAACTCTTTTAATTTTTTATTTTTTAACTTTTGAAATGTTTCAGTTGGAGATAAATTGCTGATTTTCAAAAAAAAAAGAAACATTTTTTTCGCATTTTTCCATAAAAAAAAAATTATTTCAGCTGTAAAGTATAAAATTTTTAATTACAATACTCAGTCTTTTAATTAAATATTTACTTGAAAAATTTTTAGATTTTTTTTTTGCTCAGATTTCGACAAATAAAAAACTAAAATTAAAATTAATATTGCCAGCTTTTAAGTCCATGAAAAAAACATTCAAATACAAATATTTATTATTTAAATCTCAGGAATAAAGGTTTTCGTTGATTTAAAAAAAAACCAATAATGTTATTATTCAAAAGGAAACTGCTTTTATAATCAATTACTTTTTTTTTAATTTTTTTTTGGTATTTATTTTATTTAATTTTTTTTTATTTTATTTTTTTTTTTTTTGTTATTTTTTTGTTATTTTTTATTTTTTATTTTTTTTTTTTAATTTTTTTTTTGGCTTTCAAAGATTTCGTGTATAGCAATTATTTTGTTCCCCAGTGTATTTATGACAAAATTCATCTCTTAATTACTAGCCAATTGCCCTTGTAAATTTGTTGTTATCACCTCACCGACACGCCGCTGTATTTCATTGGCATTAACAATACTAGTTCATTAAATGCACGATTGAGAAATTTGAAATAATTTTTTTTTAAATTTGTTTTTTTTTTTGCAAATCTTTTTTTTTACACTAAATAATTCAAAATTTTGTAAAATACCGCCTTTGAAATGAAATACATGGCCGAAATAATGAAATGAGTCATAAAAACCATTTAGCATTGATTGCTACATTTCATTTGTATTTTCTGTAGACATGCATACCTACATAGATAATAAATATACATATACACGTATATGTGCAAACGTAACTCAATATCTTATCAGCCAATTCGGTACATTTTTCTCATTAATTTTTTTTTTTTGTTTCATATTATTTATTTTTTGTATTTTATTTTTATTTTCAGTTGTGCAAATAAATGCACAAACAAGTGAGTACGCCATATATGTATGTACATATGTATAGCTGTATGTTTTGCAGAAAAATTTCATCATTCATACATACATACATACATATACATATACATACATAAATGTACGTAGATAAAAGTATTGTTAATTTAATGCCATGTACATACATACACATATATACATGCATACACATATGTACATATATACAAAAAGCAGCAACGATTCAATTATTGAACAAATTTTGTGCTATCAGCGCAAGCAACAAAGCCATAAAAACGGAAAAATTCATTTTTGATAATATTTATTTCTAATGGAGTGATAACGACGGTTGACAATGTCTAAGGTAGAAGCAATAATTATACTCAACTTATATATGTATGCATGTATGTATGTATGTACATATGCCAAGTAACGTTTATCAGTTTGAACAATGAAGGCTAAATGAATGTTAGACGTGTACGTACATACCTGCATATGTATTTATGTATGCATGTAATATTATTGCATATGCGTAGAGGCGTATTTACAACAACAACAGCAAGAGATAAAAAAATGTGAAAATAAAAAATTATTGGCAAATTTACAAATATTTATTTCAGTGAAACACATCACCTGCTGCCACGTAAATGCAATATTTTTAACAGTACCACACATAAATACATATGTATATACATACATACAACGGTAACTTTTCGAAATGGCATTTAGTAATACTGAAATTGTGTGAAACTAAAATTACAATTACAAAAAACGCATTTAAGTAGTATATATATAAATGTATATGTAGATGTAGGTGTATGTATTTGTGGCATTTCAAATCTCTGCCCACGGCTTGGGCTTTGAAAGGGTTTTGCGTCAATACTGACGTATTCGCCTAACTTTCATCTCCGAGCTGTTGGTTGCTGCATCTGCATTGCTGTTGCTATTTTACCATATATAAACATTCACACATAAATATGTAGATATATATTTTCATACAAACATATTTCATATTTAACTGCAAGCGACGATAAAATAAAAAAAAAATACAGAAAAATATTTTTAACTTGGCTTTAATTAAATGTGAAAATATTTTCACAACAACAATATTGTCTGGGTATAATTAATGCTATTCAAGCCAATATTTTCAAAAGTTTTTGAGTTCGACTTTCGTTTTCATTTCATCACAAACACATTATTACATTTATATGCAAGTCTTAATGTATGCATGTTTGTATATACGTGCGATACTCTTATTAATAAAAATGTAAATAATAAAGCAAAAAATAAATGGAAATAAATTCAAAAAATTAAAATTAAGTAATATAAAATAAAATAAAAATACAATAGATGAAAATATAAATAAAGAATTATACTATAAATCAAAAAAAAAATAAATCATAAAATAAAATAAATAAAGAAAATTAAAATAAAAAAAAAAATAAATAAAGTATAATAAAATGAAATAAAATAG